CGTCTTCCGCGGTCCGCCTTTTATCTACTCACAAATGTGCAAGCTTTGCAGGAAGAGATTATTTCGCTGGCCTCAGAGTGACAAAACGTATAACCAAGCAACTGTTTTACTAACACTAACACTAACACTACTCCAAACACTAACTCTTACCCTAATCCTTACCCTAATCCTTACCCTAACACTATGCCAAATTTGTTTCTAAACCAATAGTGAAGAAAAATGTTTTGACGAAATGTCATTCTGAGGTCAGCGAAATAGTTGATGCCAGCTTTGCAGCGCTATTTATAGAACTACAAGTTACTATCACAAGGGAAGTGCTGCCTTACGACCAAAAGTCCTGGGGATTTTAAATTGCCTTGTACACACACTATATGTTTGAATTTATTTTGTTTAAAAAATATCGAAATTACAACAAGCAACAATTACTATATACTGTAAAATGTACTTCGGATTTTCATACATGTGATTGTAATGGTATACCAATGGCAATATCAAAACGTCTAAAAGAACACAATTAGGAAGAACAAACTTATGTCTTTTAACCTGATATGACTAGTTTGTTGCAAGTTTTCATATCCTTTCCAAGTAATACTGTAGTCTACTGCATTTTCCGTTTGGTAAACAAGTATTACCATAGGGTTTTAAACTACATAACACGGGGGAATTTCGTTCTTGACCAATCAGTGCATTTGTCGACAATTTCTCTCAAAGCCAACCAGAATGCGTAATTGTTTATTGATGTAGTTTCCCTGCGAGCACAAAAAGCCCACTTCCGGTAAAAACATACATTTAAACAGAAAATATAGGGTCTTAATTCGAGGGGGTCAGGATTTTTAATTTTTTGATTGGATTCAACGTGATAAGCTAAAATAAGAAATTTTCTTAACAATTGTCGCTGGGATTTGCGTTTTATTACCTAGTTAAAAAATTATCTGCATTCGAACTTTCAACTTACCCGCTTTTTATACTGCGCCGCTGTTCGAATGCCGATAACTTTAAAACTAGGCAATAAAACGCAAATCCCAGCGGCAAATTTTTAGAAAATTTCTTATTTTACCTTGTCACGTTAAATCCAATCAAAAAATTAAAAATCCTGACCCCTTCAAAGAATTATTTAAGACCCTATATTTTCTGTTCAAACGCATTTTTTTACTGGAAGTAGTAACCAATTACGAATTCTGATTGGCTTAGAGCGAAAATGTCAACAAATGCATTGATTGGTCGAGAACGAAATTCCTCCTTGTTGAACTACATTGTTTACTACATTGCATGTATTTCATACAGTAACACGCACAGAAATTTTGTTCCGCTAAGGAGATTAACGTAACAGGACCTTTGATTTATGTTTTATCTGCGCATTTGGTTGTTCGTATATTGCCTGGTTTTAAAGAATTCTCGCTCAACTGGACGTATAATTAGCACATCATAAAGCCTAAACCAAAGATAAACGATTGCGCAGCATATTCCTTGAGTTTCAGAGTCAGTAAAAGGATGCTAACGTCGTTTGTTGTATCTTGATCATTTTTGTCGAATAATTAACAGTTATTCTACGAACTCGAGTCGAATATGAGCTGATAGCCGATGAGGCGCGTAGCGCCGAATCGGCTATCGCTCATATTCGACGAGAGTGAGTGGAATAACTGTTTTATTATATACACAAGGTCTGAATTTACAGACTTTGCTTTTCTGTTATTTTCAATATTTTTCTATTTTGTTTATGTTTTTATCTTCGCTTTTTCGGCCGATTATTTTTTCAAAAATATATATTTTTAACCATTTTATATTTTAAAAATTCATTTGCTAACCTGTAAACAATTTGTGGGAGTTTTTTCATTGTGTTTTTAATCCTGAAAGGGCTATAAAAAGCGAACAACTTGCCGTTTTCTCGTTCGCAAAACATTGGAAATTCAATTTTAGCCGCCATTTTGTTTTTCTCTACTAGCAGGATGAGCTAATATCCTGCTAGTAGAGAACCAATCAGATTGCAGAATACCTCATATCCAGACCTTGTGTATATAATAAAGTTCATTAGTATAAACCTACTAGTAGGCTATCACATATCGTGCCTTCTGATTGGCTACGCTACTAGTAGGCTATTAGTGATAGCCTACTAATAGAAAATTCAAAATGGCGGAAAATTCGCGTTTTGCACTTTTGCCGAAGTGCAGACCTGCCAACTCTCACGGATTTCGCGTGTGACTCACGAATTCAGGCATTATCTCACGGAAATATTTTCAAATCTCACGGATTCACGATTTTGAAATTTTAACCACCACTAGACTTTAAAATTGGAGTGATTGAAGTGAAATAAAACTAGCCATTGACGGTAATTCTAATTTGTAAAAAATCCCGGACACTATTGTATTTATTTAATTATTTTATTATTTACTCATTTAATACTAAAGGCTATAAAGTAGTAGTCCTCTGGTAGTAGTCGAAGTACTCCGCTATTTTGAATAACCTAAGCGGTATGCTCTATTAGTGTATCGCCAGTGCAGAGCGGGAACTTTACTGCAAGAAAATGACGCGATTCCTGTTTTATATTCATATCATCCCACATTGAGGAGCTTGATTTTTACCCCCTCATAGGAATTTCCAAGGTTGAAAATGCGGATCAGTGGTCGAAAATCATCCCCTTCCTCTGAAATTCCAAGGTTCCTCAACGAGGGTGTGTGGGATAAAAATTGGAATATTATCCCGAATTAGTAGGATACAGTGACGCGCTCATATAGACTAAGACCAGGTTGAATTTGTAAGTAAACTGTTAAGTTAAAAAAGTTTTATTTTGGAGGACAGTAATTAAAAATGGCTATGTCACAGTCATAGATCAGCCATCTACAGGCAATGGTTACAATAATTGTCTTATCCAGAATTACCCCAGATTTTCATTATATTATCTCCAGAAGTAAGAGATCAATCTCAAGAAATTTTCTATCAGATCTCCAGATTCATTGCTGTTGGAGGTTGGCAGGTCTGCGAAGTGTCTGATGATTTTTTGGACGACTTGTTGAACAATTCTGTACTAAAAAACCCCGAAAAAAGCAACAAAGATATGGAATCGCAATTTTTAAGGGTAAGTAAATAGACAAAATAACATACACTCAATGAAATTTTAAAATTAAAACTGAATTTTGTAAAACATTTTACGCGAACAAAAACTAAAATATTTGTTTACCTTTAATGGTTTTATAATTTTTTTGTGTATTTTTGTATTGTGTTTGCAGCCTAGTTGTAAATTAATGTTAAAGTTTATACTAAAACAATTAGACAACTTGGCCTCGTTGTCTATGAGCAAATAGTCAACTCGGCTTCGCCTCGTTGACTATTCGCTCATAGACAACTCGGCCTCGTTGTCTAATTGTTAAATAGTTTACCCTACCTTTAATGTAAAATTAAACCTGAATCGCTTCGTAAAATGTTTTGAAATGTTCATTTTAATAACTATAAACTGCTTTTTCCAATAAACTGTTTTTACTTTATAATAAAACAAAATAAGTTCAAATTGTTGAGAAATTTCAGTTAGGTTTTCAAATTAATTTGCTCTCCTTTACATTTTTTTCTTAAATTAAACAGGGTAATTTAGCAAACTTTAATACAGCTTCATTGAAAAGGAAAGCAGTGCATGTTTTACGCAATAAATTAAAGAAACAAAATTCATAAACAAAAAACATTCAAAGTAAACTTGCCTTATATTTCACGATTTCCCACAGTAAATCAATTCTTCTCATTTCTTCAAACAAAAATTACTTCAAAGTTCATTAATTGTGTGAAACGTGATTTTCCAAATATATGCTTTTGAAATTGAAATCTTGCTTATCCCACTCCTGGCAAACACCATATTTTTGAGATCAGTGAGGATGACCACCCACGGTTGGTCAACCACGCCCGCGATCATTGATAAACTTTAGATTTCGCTAATGCTTCCCCTTCCTCGAGTGTAAATAGAAATTAGTACTCTTGCCGGGCTAACGCCCGGAACGGCGCTCCGCGCCGTTGGCTCGGGGACAAAACTTCGTTACACTTACAAAATATGCAATATTATAAACTCTGATTTAGAAAGAACATTAGAGCCCGTTTCAGACGCCGCTCCACCAAGTTTATACTTGTGATATAAAGGTAAAAATGTCGAAAAATCCAGTGTACTGAAAATGAACTGATTTTGAGGAACACTGAGAAAATGCTTTATGTAGTATGCGCGGCATAAAATCTGAATGTTGAATTGTGCTATTGATTTCCCAAAAATTCTTGGTCATTTCAGTTGAACACAGACAGGAACATATCAATCACATTCTTTATCCAGACTATTTCACCCATGTATTTTCATGTTTACATCAATCGAATCAATTGCAAATCTCGCACAAAAGCCGCAGATGATGCAATATATACCCACGCGGTTCTCGTGATGAGGCACATGCGAGCAAATTCAGGGGGAGGACACTGAAAAGAATGTCAGGAATGTGTAAAAAAGAAGACAGAAAAGGCGATGCTAGACTTCGATATGATCGTATTTGAAGGGATATGGCGTATATCGCTTGTTCAATAAGAATGTAATGTTTTTTGCGTCTTCAAGAAACAAAATATGCCAAAATATTGAGAAATATGACTTATTTTCAAAATACAGTCTACAAATTGCACCCCCGGAATGTTAACATTTATTTTATATGATCCTAGCTGATGTAAATTTTCAGCCTCGTGATAATAGTGCAAATTTTCTAAAGAAATTTTGCACTAAAAATCAAATAATAACAATGATCCTGTTTCAACAGTCATAAAACTTAAGCTACAATTGGACAGTTATCACAGGCTAGTCGAAATACAACATTTTCGTTATTTTTCAGAAGATTTTTCTGGCTTAGCGTCCTGAGAAGAGGTTTTAAAATGGGTCAAACTTCAGCCATGATATCTTCTTCGATTTTAACTATTCTAGATTTATAAAATGGCGGAAAGCCGAATGTAAAATAATATATTATTCAATCATTATGAATCTGGTTGAATCCGAATACATCATAGGGTATAACAATACGAAAGCTCAACCAGATGCTATAGGTGATATCACTAATCAGAAAACACTTCAATGTGTAACAAACAGTTGTAAATATTAGAGAAAGCTGTTAACAACAATATTTAATTACGAAAATTTGGTGTACATATATACCTAGATTTATATAAAGTATTTGTTTAGTTATAAGTGTGGATATATAAATATGCGTTGAAATCATATTATTGAAATCATATAATATGAATTTATACCAAATGTATTTTGATCGAACAACTGTAATAGATCCAAATGTTCACATGTTTTTACTAAATTTTACGTGACGTAATTAGGCGATATAAGAGGAGATACGTCGTTGTCAACCTCGTTATTGGGATTATGTGATTGAACAAAAGGCTCTGTATAACGAACTCCCTGTAGAAAAAAATATGAAAAATCAAAAAATGACGATCGCAACATGGATCACGCATCAGATACAAATTTCATGAAACCAATAATTTATGGTGTTCGTAAATATTATTTTTCAAAGCAACTGGTGAAGGTGTATCAAATCTTTGGATCAATGACAGACACAAGGGGGCGCGTGTGACGATGGCGAGCGACCACCCCCGTCCCCCCAGCCTTCAATATTTTCTCAAAGTATGTGAAACCAAGTTTTAACTATGAAAGCTTGATAAACCTAAAATCTAAAAATGTTGACCTAAAAATGTTTGGAGACTCCAATTTCCACTAGTAACCAAATGGTCGGAATCTCTGTGGTCAGCCTTGAATCGACCACAGTGCCTATACTAGAAGGTAACAAAATGGCCATCGAGGTGGAATGTAACAAGTTGCAAATGCGTTTGCTTCTAACGACTTGACCTCAAGTGTATCGTAATACTATTCGTAATATTTCTGGGTCAGTAAAATGTTAATAATATAAACATATTTACATATATTACTGTTTTCTAATTTTTAAATAAAAGCATTACGTACCCTGCTTCTTAATCCAAGTAGGATCAAACCGATCAAAATAAAAAGGCATCCGACAGCAATCAATACATATTTCCCAATATCTGCAATTTCTTTTGGCAGAATAACGTCTTCTTTAAATTTCTTAGCATCCGCTTCACTAATAACAGCACTCTAGATAAAGAGAACAACATTGAATAACACTTACAATGATTGAATGACAAAAATAACAAAATACGAGCGTCGGTATCGAGAATGCAAAACCAAAGAAGAACCACGGAATCGATCATATACGACTCTCTTCCACTGAGGTTTTCCAGTTTGCTTTCTGGACTCCCTTGTGGAAAAGCGCTGGAAGGTATAACAAAGGCGCTAAAAGGCGAACGGCGCTAGATGAACCTCTAACATTAGAAATTAATATAACTGAAACGCTATATATGCCTTCAGATAAAGTGCCTATCTTTTTCTTGAAGCCAAATCTGACCAGTGTTGATATCACAAGTGTTTATATCATGATTGACTGCTTCAGCGCTCTTCGCATGCGAGAAAAGACTGGGACTGGCCTTCAAGTTTGGCTTCAAATTTCCGGTTGGAGGTGGCATTCCAGTTATATATTAGTAATTCCAATGCCCTCTAGCACCTTTATTGCCCTCTAGCCTCTTTCCATAAATGCCAAGAACGTCCACATAGCACACTAGAAAGCCTCAGCGGAGGAGACGCAAAATCTTTGCATCACTGTTTGGAATGCTTCTAAATCAGATGAAACCTCGGGAAAGTGTTTTTCCCTGACGCGGTAAATAACATATCTGTTGAAGAATATATTATTATTTAGATGCAGTGTCAGATGAGTTATAAAAATTACCTCATTAACAAACAACACAGGAAGATAAACTTTCCGTATTTTCTTTAACTGACTAAAAAACGAGAAAAATAGATATGGCCCACAAAGAGGTTTATGGCAATTTATGAAAACATGGATTCACAACATTGTATGCGTGAATTATACAACTTGTTAATAGTGAGGGACAACCTTGATATAAGTACTTGACAAAGAAGACAGTATCACATGGTCGCATGGGTGTCAGTAATAAAGGGTTATACACAAGGAACTATCCGTATAACAGAGAGGTGTACGTATATTAAAGAGGTGCCCATAATGAGGAGAGGTTCCGTTGTAAACAACATATTAGCATGGCTTCGACTTAATACCGTCTCCTTGCCCCCGCCCCCTTTTCTGAGCTAGTGTTTGCAATTGATTACATGACTAAATGCCATGGCAACGAGAAATGAAAAATTTCCCATGAAAAATTCATTGAATTTGTAAAATGGTGGTAAATTATCCGTAGAGATGAAAAAATACAGCAATGACCATAGCTTACTCAATTCCGGCAACTTTGTCTACAGCCACATTAATTTGAATTCTTTTGCTTGCCTTCATTGTAATTCCAGTATTCTGCAGTGAAATAAACATTACATTTCTTAGGTTATCCTATCTTTTACTACCTTTATCTCAGCACAGCATACCTGGGTGTAACCTAGTATAACTAACCATTTGTTTCGGTATAGTCTATACTTGGTGTCACCTACAGTAGTATACATGTAACTAGTCATTTTTTTGGCACAGCCAATCTAGTTCTAGCATCGGGTGACTATAAGTTTTTGTGAGCATAGCAAAGCCTCAACTAACTCTGCTCATTAGCATGTATAGTTAAGCGTCAGCAGGTTGTGTTTTGGTTAAGGCAAATATTTCGTGGGACCACACTGTGATGGGACTCAAGTCAATACCAGAAATTGGTACATGGACCTTGACCTTAAATATGACATCATTGTTCAGAGAATAGAGAAATCTCATAACAAACTTTACTGGAACAAGAAAGTACGATCACATCACCCCGGAACAAGAAAGTACGGAACAAGAAAGTACGATCATATCACCCCGGCTTTAGATAAGCTGGGATGGTTGTCAGTTAACGACTCTTCTATTGTACCGTGATGCTATCATGATGTATAAAATCGTTCATGGTCTTGCACCTGCCTATCTTAGTTCCAAGCTAGTAATCCGTTCGCAAATTCATAATCACTTTACTATAGGCAGGCAAATGACTTAAACATATTACGATGTAGAACATCTAAAGCTAAGCGATCCTTTTTTAATCATGCAGCACTGCTGTGGAACTCATTTGATCTTTCGACTCGAAACATTTCAACTCTAGCCTCTAGGAGGATTTAAGAAGGCCGTACGAACAGAGTTAATCAATAGACAGAATTAATTTTTAATAGTCCTCGTAATATACAGTAATTCTAGTTTATAGCTATAGACAATCTATCTTTTTAACAAAAGTTCTAAATAATTGCATGTAAATATCATATTACTACACTTATTTGCAAATTAGTTATGAAAAGCCCTTACGGGGATTAACTAATAAATCATATTGTATTGTATTGTATTGTACAACCATCCCTTTTTATTAAACGCCAACTTAATTTTCCTACTATACTGTTCCTACACTGAAAATATTTATTAAACCTCAACGACGGAAAACCAAAACAGCTAGTTCTGTAGGTTCCCCTAGGATTAGCACTGATCAAACTTATAACAACCTTTCCCAGTTGGAAAGTGCGTATCATAATCAAACAACAGAATCTTACCGGTTCAACTGAAACAAATGTAGCATGAACGTCTTCATTTGGATGCATTCCATCAACAGACTTGATAACAGATTCATTCGCAAACAGAAAATGCGGAAGCGATACAACTATTGGAACATCTAAACATGGTTAATATGATTTAAGTTTCAGCCATCGGAAATAAGTTTCAGTCCACTAGAATTGAGTTTCAGTTCATTGGAATTGAGTTTCAGATCATCCCATAATAAATCATTCATCCCATACAGTATAAATCATTCATAAAGAATACACAAAATAAATGAACTTTTAGCCAATGTACAGTATGTAAATCGGATATAGATTATTTTCGTGTTCAGTTGATTAACACAACCTGTTCGTTCAACTTTTTTAGCTATAACGTAGTCATAGTGATTCATCGATATCCATATCGGTGTATCGGATATCGGTATATCGACCCTACATGTAAATTCAAAAGATTGGTATCGGTATTTTTGACCGATATTACCGATAACGTATTATAATAAATACATAAAATAGTTTATAAATAATTATAGGGACCGCAATTCAAATTTCATGTTGACAAGGGACCTTGAAAAATACACTAGTTTAAGAGAGCTCATCTTTTGAAACATTTTGGTATTTATTTCATCAAAATCAGGGCAATCAAAAGTTATTACAATCTGAAGTTCGGAATTTGGCTCAATTTTTAGAAGATGGACATTTTCAGTATAACTTAATTACAAATGTGGCACAAAAATGCCTGATTTACAGTTATATTTAGAAGTATAGCCATTCAAAATACTGAACTAGCTGGCATGCTACATATAACAAAGCAAGCATGCAGTCTATAAAATGAAACACCAATACTGTATGTTGCCAATGTTGAAACACGATATAAACCACATTGCAACGTCATGGACATGGTGCCATATATGTACAATGACTAAACAAAACCCATTTACACGGTGCACCACTAAACGTAGTGTAACGTGTAAAGAAGCTTGTTGTGTATTATTAATCGTATGAATTTAATCCAGTTTGAGGAGGTTAGTACTGAGCTAAACAGAACGAGAACATCGTCTAAAGGCGGATTTCCAGTCCTCGCGCGAAGCTCCTCGCAGCGAGCTGCGAGTGCATGCATGAGCACTTTCATCCAATCACAATGCAAGCACTCGCAGCGAGCTGCGAGGAGCTTCGTGTGAGGACTGGAAATCCGCCTTTAAACTCCTGTGGGATTTCAATTACAGCAAAAATTACAACAATACCTGTTGCAAATTTCTTGTTGCAAAAACTCAGGTATGGTAGGTCGGGTTTATTGTTTTGTTATTTTTTTATAAATGTTCATGCATGAAAATTATTTCTACGTCAATAGACCTTATGCATAATGACGTCACAAGGCTTGATGCCCGCGAGGAATGCTGGTCATTGTAGTCATCGCCCGCAGGAAAATTAAACAATTCAAATTAGCCACTGTCGGAATTTTCCCGGGCGATGACTACTAAGACCAGCATTCCTCGCGGGCATCAAGCCTTGTGACGTCATTATGCATAAGGTCTATTACGGTAGCACAGATGACACAGACATCCGTTAATTATATCAACTTTGAAACAAACAGGTTATACTTTATATAGCTAGTACAAAGCCAACGCCAGGGACTGGGTGCGAAAACGGAGAAACCAGAAATCCAGCTATTGTTTGGCCTTATTTATTTATTTTCTAAAATATCATAAATTTCATTGTGTTAATAGCAGTCGTCGTCACGTTGTCGTCCGACATCGTAGGATCTTTAATAGAGAGATCCAGATTTGACCTCCGCTACCAATACCGCTACCACCTCTCACTGGCTTAGTACGTATCTGATTGGTTAATTAATAAGGCATATCAAACGCATCAGATTGGTTAATCGTCACCTAATGGCGACGGTAGCAGTAAATTCAAATTTGAACCTCTCTATAATGTCTTATCTAATAAGGGGACGTGATCAAAACACTGTCTAAAACTACACTTTTTGCTAAATGGTAAAAAGTGGATTACATGCAGTATACCGTTGTAAATAGGGGGATGAGGTACTTATAGAAACAAATCAAACCTCTTTTCGAGACGATATAGAATTGGTCATTAAACAAAAATAATAAAAAAAATCCTATTATACACTTCACTTACTCATTGGCTGGCAAACACTGATGTCCAACAGGCCATCAGGAACACATGTTAGATTGTTAGGTACACAAAACCCAGCTCGAACATCTGCAGTATACTTAAATAAGTCTGGAGGAGTATAATACTTGTACAGTGTTATCCCTCGAACGTCGGTTGTAGAATAGTACCGGAGATATAATGACCTGAAAAGATGGAAAAATATTAGTGAATATTGCATATCATTTGCATCAAAGCGTACCAGAACTCTGCTTGGAGCCCTGCTCGCATCGAATTTGATCGACTGGGGCCTTTTGGGCTAGGTTTGGGGGGCTTTGCGATGATCTGGGCAAAGTACTGAGGTTTCGGGTTGGCTTTTTCACATACAACATGTAAATTGTATTAATGCCTATCGATCTCTCGACAAATACGGCGATTAGTGCTTTTAGAATCACATGTTGTCGCAACCTCATACCCAGGTTCTCAGTCTTCGCTCCTACCTCGCTTGAATTGAGACCCTGGTATCGGCTGGTTACGTGACCCGTCATATTTTGGCGGATTTGCCAATTTGTTTTTAGGGAAAGGATAGTAACTGAGATGTTTTGTCTTGTAATATTATTTTAACAATATTAATGTTAACTACAATATCTACTTACTATACTTTCCCTAAAACATTTGAGCAAATCCGCCGAAATATGACGGGTCACGTGACCAGCCAATACTACGGTCTCAATTCAAGCGAGGTAGGAGCGAAGATTGAGAACCTGGGTACGAGGTTGATGTTGTCGTTTTCCATGCAGAGTAGCACCCTCCGGCTTTTACGCTTACCGGCTCAGAAAAACTATCGTTATATCAAATAATCTCCTTATTACCTACAAACATCGCTGACAAACGTTTGCAGCTGGTTGTCTTTACTTATGTCAGGACGAAACATGGTAGCATCTACAAATTAAAGTAAAACAAAATATTAAGCCCTGTTAAAATGAACCCAACATGTTTATCCAACAATCTTCAAATGTTTTATATACTGTTTCTTTTCCAAATATTTTAGAGCACAGATTTTTTATTTCTATACAAATCTTAAAATTAAACCCAATTAGATTTGGAAAATAAGCAGCTAAACTCTAAATATTTCAAAATTGTGCATGTGTGGGCTAACAACATCATGTTGGGCTAACAATATTGAGTCTGTTTGAATGGGCCTTTACTTAATGATTATTTTGTAGTAATTTGTATTGGTGTATATGTAGCTATATGTATGATGTATATGTATGTATGTACTGTATGTCTAGGACCTGTATATGAGTTTGTATGAGTTTCATTTAGGACAGGTAATCTCAACTGTTTTAGGGTAAAATGACCAACATGGCATATGTGCCAAAACCTGAATCCGGGACGAAAGTCCTGAAAATGACCCCGCCTTGAAACGGCAGTGTCGACATAGCTCTAACTTCCGAAAAGGAAAAGCAATAGCCTTTCTGAAGTGCTTGTAGTGTTCAGAAGGGTTGGTTTTAGGGGTGGTCATTGGAAGGAAAAATTTGTCTAAGTATAATATTTTACAAGAAAATGACCATAAAATAACTAATATGCCTGGCAGAAATATATGCTTTCTTATTTCCTAAAAAAAAATATCATGGGATGAGAAACTATGCTCAATTTAGTATAATTATTGTAGATTTCATAAGGATTGTCATTATTTTCATTAAATATAATACATTTTATTTCACTTACCTCCCACGAAAACACTATTTCAGCCATATTTTGCCGTCTTGTTTGCTTTTTATCGCTGAATCTGGCAAATATCATCCAGTCGTTGTACTTTTACATAATCATGAATGGCTGAAGAAGATTTCAAAGAAGGTTTCATCAAGTTTGGAAACAGTGCAGTGTATTTTATCTTCGATATTGCGTCCTTCGATATTTCGTGAAATATGGCGCCATTGCAATGGCGCGCCGCCTCTCTGCCCGATAAATGCCACTTCTACGTCTTCCTATGTATTTAGATTACAGTATTCAGAAGTAATTCATTGTAGAATAGTCCCAATCGAAAAATTGAAACTAAACTAAATACACTATTTTTATTGAATGTTTATGATTGATGATAAAAATACGCAAATATTTATTGTTTTTATCATCAATCATAAACATTCAATAAAAATAGTGTATTTAGTTTGGTTTCTGTGGTGGCGAAAAAACGTTTCGTGAAAATATTCACACCCCCCCCCCCCCTCCCTGTCATGTAGCCCATGAGGAGTTTTCACGAACTTGCGCGTGACTTTTAAATTACTTCTTTTGAATTCTGACAAGACAACTGTATTGGGAGGTTTTCTCCTTTCAACTATGATACAAGTAATGTTTTCAATTTTTCGATTGGGACTATTCTACAATGAATTACTTCTGGATACTGTAATCTAAATACATAGGAAGACGAAGAAGTGGCATTTATTGGGCAGAGAAGCGGCGCGCCATTGCAATGGCGCCATATTTCACGAAATATCGAAGGACACAATATCGAAGATAAAATACAATGCACTGTTTCCAAACTTGATGAAACCTTCTTTGAAATCTTCTCCAGCCATTCATGATTATGTAAAAGTACAACAACTGGATGATATTTGCCAGATTCGGCGATAAAAAGCAAACAAGACGGCAAAATATGGCTGAAACAGTGAACTAAAAATACCTGGAACGCTACCTCCTATAGGATTGGCTTATGATTGGATGAAGCCAATTTTTACCTCTAGACACGCGCGTTTGTGTTGCGAGACATTCTCGCGAGACCATTTCGGCAGTGACTTGAATGTTTTTTCTCGGGCGAATGGATCGAAAATTGTTGTTTATTTAGGGTTTTAAGCTATATTTTTGTATTAAAAGTGCATTTAAAACATGTCTTAAACCCTACCGAATAAAATTGCAAGGAAGGGAGTAGCTGATTGAAGACAACAAGTGCATATTTGAATGACTGGAACGTTTTATATATGTAGATGAAAGTTGAGAAAGATAAGTAATTCCGTCTACTTTAACGTATTAAACATATATTTATAACAACTTCATAAACTGTTAAACAAGATAAGTTTATTTAGTCTGTATCTATCACTTTGTTTGCCTTCGTTGACGACTTGTTCTGTGTATTTCTTGCCGAATTTATGTGAATAATCGCAATATGAAATACTTGTCCGCGAAAAAACGTTTTTAATGTCTTTAATGTTTATATTTGTTCTTTTGTACTTTAAAATTTAATAAATACTCTACTGCAAAACATAATTAAACTGTGGTTTGTAGTTTGATCTTGTTAGAATACTTTTTTCCCTAACTTTCAGACGAACAAATTGGAAAACGAAAGAGCAAAGTAGGGAAATTCACACAAATACGTATGATTAGACCACGGCAAGCTCCACTCCTCGCTCAACGTATTTCTCAAAAAAGAAAATTTAATTACGAATTCTACATAAATAAATTAAAAATATTTTACTCTAGAGTTTTAAAGGATGTTTTTATTGTAAAAATGTACTGGTAGGTGCATTTTACGTCGTCTTAAACGATGTTTTAGTGCATTTTTTACTATAAAGTTTTGGAAATTTAAAAAAAAAACGCGTTTTCCGTTACGCGAAAAGACTGGGCATGACAACAGTGGGCATGCCTGGGCATGGCTTCACATTTCGGGTTGAAGGCATCGTTCCAGTTATTTTTAGTTCAATGGGCTGAAATCGTGTTTTCGTGGGGGATAAGTGAAATAAAATGTATTATATTTAATGAAAATAATGACAATCCTTATGAAATCCACAATAATTATATTAAATTGGGCATAGTTTTTCACCCCATAATATAATTTTTTTAGGAAATAAGAAAGTTTAATTTCTGCCAGGCATATTAGTTATTTTATGCATAATTAGCAATTTACCTGGGGTGGTGCATGGTCATTTTCTTGTAAAATATTATACTTTATAGACAAATTTTTCCTTCCAATGACCACCCCTAAAACCAACCTCGTACCCAGGGTCCCCGTGTTTAAAGGTTCTGGTGCACGTGGAGGGACCCTGGCAAACTCTGATTGCCAGGTTACCAAATAATCCAAAAATCTTGGAGTATTTGTCGACCTGGCCTTTTTTAGCATTGGCATAACGGGGGGGAAGACTCATAATAAAAAATATTTCACAAACTGCAAGTTTTTATCAAAGTCAGCTGTTTAAAAGGATTTTTATTGCACCTGTCGTACGATTTATCAAATTTTGATATCATATGTGATATTTTGAAGTGGAAAGTCATTCAATTACTGGTTAATATCGAAGAATTTGAACTCATGATCCGCCATAATGCCATGGAAATGTATCTATAAATCTATATACAGAGTTCTGGTTAAAAAAACCAGGTACTGTATTAAAATACCACCACTAGGTAACAAATATATTCTCATACTGTATATAATGTTTACTCAAATTTGAATGTCTACAAATTGTTCTTTCCCATTGCAATTTGCGGCTTCTTATGCTATGCTTTTCAAGCCATGGAAAGACTTCATGTCAATTTTAAAGTCCACTTGTTGGCGTAGCTTGGCTTTCTCTCAAATGGTTTGATTTTCTTCGGGTCCTGTACCATTATTACTTGATAGTCTCTTCACATCTCAGAACTGAGACCTTGTTCAAAATTTTGTGAAAAGAATTTGATGACTTGAAGTACAAGAGGAGTCTCTTCTTGTTGATGTTGTTTCTTAAGCCATCACCATCTTTGCATGATGATCATGCAGTTGCATCAAGAACACAGCTAGCTCTATATATCATGTTTAAACCGTAGAACCTATCATTGTTTGAAAACATTTACACCATAATTATTATTCAAACTGCCAAGATGACTAAGTATCAGAAAAATTGAAAATTAAAGTTATAGATATTATATAGTTATTTTCAAAACTGAATTGAATAGTCAAATTGTTAAATTATTAACTAAAATATTGTTTAATTTATATATTATATTAATACAGTAAATAATATTTAAGTTTGAGTAAACATTATATGCAGTATGAGAATATATTTGTTACATAATGGTAGTATTACACTACCTGATAGTGTTTTTTTTATCCAGAGCTTTGCAGTATAGTATATAGATTAATACATTTCCGTGGCAGATCACGAGTTCAAATTCTTCGATATTAACCAGTAATTGAATGACTTTCCACTTCAAAATATCACTTGTGATATCAAAATTTGATAAATCATGTACCAAGATCAAACATATTGGTTAACCCCTTATGTGGCAGCGCTCTCCCCTTGATGAGTAAAATCATCTGGTGTTGAATCATCTGGCATTAGACAGAGTAAATAGTAAGGTAGGGTGCAATGCGACTCAGTGGGTTAACTGGACACATGGGCAGTTAGGCCAGTTAACCATTAAGTCCCAGCATGATCTCCCCTTGATGAGTAAAATCGTCTGGTGTTGAACAGAGTAAAATAATAAAGTAGGGTGCAATGCGACTCAATGGGTTACAATTTAAACGCTAGCGAATAAAAACTTATATTTGTAAAATATTTTTGATTTTGAGTCCACAAGTAGGCCATTGCCAAAAAAGGCCAGGTCCAAGATTTTTGATTATTTGGTAACCTGGCAATCACAGTTTGCGTTGAGTTAGTTGTTTCAAAATGTGACCATATTATGTCAGCTGAAGACATGTTTGTGAGCTTTGAAATTTAGGATATGCAGCATGCATATACCAGTACTTTTTTAAGATAATTACTGACCTTTGTGAGAAATAGGTACAAGTTCAATTCCAATTTGTTATGTTAGTTATATATTATAGTTTCTATTTTTGAGTGATCTATTGCCAGTATGTATAGTATAAGACAAACATGCCCAAGCTTTTCCTTGTCACATTTTGAGCTGGGTTGTTCATATTGAATAAAGATTGCTAACTTTTTTTTTTGGGGGGGGGCTGAGAATAAATAGATTTTGTTCTTCATTTGCGAACTTGTCCAAAAAAAGTGGGAAAGGGTGTTATATCATACTAATAAGCTGCATTGATCACAACCGTTGAATGGCAAAGCATGCATGTTTGTAGATAAGATTGTACTATATCTATTATAAAATTTCACTACAATGAACATATAGACATCCACTCATCTGTGATGGGAAAGGGGGTTGAAACAATCGCAGAACAAGTCGGCAATTGAAGGACAATTTATTTGTCGACAATCCTTATTAATACAAGTATAAACTATATGAGGATTTTGTTTACACATTACTGTACATCATAATTATAATTTAATTTAATTTATTAGCTTTGCCTTGTAGATAACTATATTACAATTAATGGCAGGGAGTCCGTAACAGCACTTAGCCAATTACTACGGCCCCGTAAAACTAACATTAAAACTAATATTACAAATTTAACAAATACAATAATCAACTAACAACAAACAGCATATGAAAATAACAACAATACGTCTTTCACATGCAGCACGAGATTGGAATACTAAGACTACGAACAGAGTTACACTTTGGACAAATGGTTTTGTACGAACGAGGGTCGTTGACATTGTAACAAGTTCTTAATGACATAGAGTAATAATTAAAAATGACAGTTTTAAATGTAGAGAAACCACATGTGTCCAGTTTTAGTTGATCGGCGAGGAGGTTCCAGATCCGAGTTGATCGGATAAAGAAGGATCGTTGATAGGTGGATGTCTTGCATTTCGGAATGACATATTTGGTGGAAGTACTGGTGGAAGATCTAGTTTGTCTGGAGGTGCGGATTGTTGGAAGGAGAGATTCATTTATGTCTACAAGTCCGTGGGTAATCTTGTAAAAGAGAACCATGTCAAGGTACTCATGCCAATAACAGATTGGTAGGAGCGATAGAGCCTGGTGGTATAATCCATGGTACTGGAAAATGGTAACTCGAGGATGAATCTAGTTGCTCTTCTCTGTATGCGCTCGACTTGTTTCAACAGTTCAACTGACTGTGGAGCCCATACTTGTGTTGCATACCCTAGGTGTGGTCTTACAAGGGCCAGATACAGCGTGCGCCGGACTGAGGTGTTGTGGATATACAGAGATGATCTTCGGATGTATCCAAGTAACTTGTTTGCTTTGGTCGATTGTTCGTTAACTTGTTTGTTCCACGTAAGTTTGTTCTCCACCCACACGCCGAGATCTCGTTCACTGTCAGTTTGTTGTATGTTTAGGGTGTTAAGTTTGTAGTTGTTCGTGATTGGCATGGTTTTTCTCGTGATTCGTTGTGATTTACACTTTTTCTCGTTGAAAGGGAGGCCAGACGCTAATGACCATGTTTGCAGGTTGTCAAGATCACTTTGGAGGCGTTTACAGTCGTCTTCTCTTTTGACGGAGGTGAATAGTTTGGTATCGTCGGCGAACATTGCAACTTGGCTGGATGTGACCGCGTCAGGAAGATCGCTGACGTACAAGACAAAGAGGAGAGGGCCAAGAATTGAGCCTTGAGGTACGCCTGAAGTTACTGGGAGGGTATTTGATGTTGCACCAAGGACAGTCACACGTTGTTTACGATTAGTTAGGTAGGAGTGAAACCATTGGAGAAGTTTACCTCCAAATCCTGCCATGCGCAATTTGTATGCGAGGCGCTCGTGGTTAACTTTGTCAAAAGCCTTGGATATATCAAGGTAAATAGCGTCAATCTGCCCTCCAGCGTCCAATTCCAAGCCAATGAATTCAAGAACTTCCAGAAGATTCGTTATGCATGATTTGCCTGAAATAAATCCATGCTGTGATTTCTGTATTAGTTGGAATAGGTGGACTTTAATGTTGCAGAAAACGCAGCGTTCTAAGACTTTTGAGACAATTGGCAGTAGCGAGATTGGTCTGTAGTTTTCTGTATATTCTCTTTCGCCTTTCTTATGTACAGGAACGATGTTTGATAGTTTCCACTCTTCCGGTAGGACACCCTCATCTAAGGATTTGTTGAATAACATGCACAGAGACGGAGAGATGATAGGAGCTGTCTCTTTAAGCAAACGGGCAGGAATATTATCGGGTCCCGTGGCTTTTGTGCTGTCAAGGTTTTCGAGAACTGCCTGCACTTCTTCGACCGTCAAAGTAAGATCAGTCATAACAGGCTCGACTTCCTGAGAAACGGTGTCGTCGTCCGCACACTTGTTGGATGTATATACAGATGAAAAGTAGTTGTTGAACATGTTCGCAATATCCACAGGTTTATCAGCGCTGATTCTCGACGAATGGGTGTCTTGGTCGATGTTTGTTGTCGCAGCTGAAGAAATGGTGTTGGGAATGTTACGCGATTTAGATTTGTATTTCAATATTGACCAAAGTCTTTTTGGATTGTGTTCGAAGTCGTTTCCCAAGGAAATAAAGAAATTTTTCCGACTTTCTACGAGCATATGTTTAACTGTTGCACGTAATATTTTGAATTTTTGTACCAGATGACTGCTTGGAGATAATTTCATTTTCCTTCGAACAGTGTTCTTTTTCTTAATTAAGTTCAAGATTGTTCCATTAATCCATGGTAAGGGATTTCGTCCTTTGATTTTCTTACGTGGTATGTGCTTTGAGACTGTGTCGAGAAAAGTATCTTTCCAACTTTTCCAGTCGTCGTTTATGTTTGCATGATCTAAATTCAAACATAAGTTCTTAGCCGATAACGCGGAACGCAAGCCATCGAAATCTCCTTTTCCGTAATCATAAGTGTATCTGTGACTCTTTGTTCGAACTTTGATGAATGAGTCAAACTCGTAGAATATGAGACAATGATCTGTAAAGAAAATCGCGTTTTCTGGTGACTCGACATTGGTTATGGTGATATGTTCCGGGACGCTGGTGATTACGAGATCAAGTATATTATTACCGCGAGTAGGAAAGTGGTTGACTTGAGTTAGAAAGTGATCGTGTAAGACTTCGGTGAAAGATTGTCCATTGGCATTAGTTGTCCTGAAGTTGTTGTTCCAGGAGATGTTTGGCAGGTTGAAGTCACCAGAAATAACCAGTTTATCAAATTGATCGCCAGCTTCGCCGAGATAGGTGTTAAACATATCTAACCAGTTTGAACCGGAGTCCGGGGGGCGATAGCAGGAACAAAAGAGTATCTTTTGATTTTTTGATGTTATTAACTCCGCTGCCACGATCTCCAGTTGTTCTAGTTCATTTGTTGCATTGATTCTATCAGGTATATACTGTTTCACACTCGTAAACGAACTGTTTTTCACTGCAATTAGAACACCACCTGCGCGTCGAGAATCACGGTCCTTACGGTAAATGGTGTAGTCTTCATTAAGTAGTTCAGTGTTTGAAATATTCTTGTTGAGCCAAGTTTCATTGACGCAGATAATATCAAGGTCGTGTGTGTAAATAAGATCTTGAAAGCAGTTGATATTGCTGACTTTGTCCCCTCTGTTAGTGTTATGTAAACTTTTTAAACTTCGAGCATTTAAAGTAACGCATTTTACGAACTGTTAGGTTTTAATAATAAAATATACATACAATTTATACACTTAATGCATAGCCTTGCCAGTCAGGTTCTTTAAAATAATTAAAATTGCCGTCTTTTTTATCCAATAATGAGTCCATTATAGGCTATAATTTATGTAGCAAAGCATTCCTGTCAATATTAAATGGACTTTTAGAGATCTATCATAAATAGCCAATTTTTGATTGTGATTCATCTTTTTAAATTGTCAATTTTCATACTTCTTCCGTTCTTCGAATCCCTTCGATAGACAAGATTAGCAAAATTATGTAGATTGCCGCCGCCAGTAGGTTAACGAAATTGTAGGAAGATCTTTGTGTTTATATATCTTTTATTTCATATTCTGTATTTATTTGCATTCGCCCTTCGCGAAGTTTGCTTGCACAGTCACAGTGAAAGTGGTCATCGCCCCCCGGATCATAAAGTTACAAATTACGTAATCTTCAAGATTTGTGACGTCACGCAATCAGAGTTTGGCAGGGTCCCACTACGGGGACCCTGGGTACGAGGTTGCCCTAAAACCAACCCTTCTGAACACTATAAGCGCTTCAGAAAGGCTGTCGCTTTTCCTTTTCGGAAGTTAGAGCTATGTCGACACTGCCGTTTCAGGGCGGGGTCATTTTCAGGACTTTCGTCCCGGATTCAGGTTTTGGCACATATGCCATGTTGACCGCCATGGTCATTTTACCCTAAAACAGTTGAGATTACCACAGGCGGCCCAATCTCGCAAGGGTCAGTATAGACTTATAGTATAAAGGTATATTATAGTAATGTATAAAAATATGTCATAAAATATAAATTTTAAAATGAAATTGACTTGCCTATTTGATAGTGTGTGTTCTCCTTGTATTCGTCCTTTGTTGAACTGATATTTCCGACACTTTGTACTCGATGTTACTGGTATACATGAAACATGATAAAGGCTAACAATTCCCGATCGTCGATACGACGGCACGGCACTTCGAATCGAAAATTCTCACACTCAAATTGCTTTATTCTCCAGAAAAATTCGCCAGCATGCACAACAGATGCCGTTCTTCGAAAATACGGAGTTACTTCGGCGAGATGTGCAAGTTTTGGACCATATTTTAACAATGGAAATCAAAACCCATTTTATATTGCCCAGGCCGAAAATTACTACGGCGAACGTCTGCACAACCAGGCCTCCTTTACCGTTGGATTTACAGGGGGGGAGGTTGCCACTAATATATTAACGATCATATTTCGAATTAAAGTATCATATTCTACCATGTTTTCCAACAAAGAGCCGCTGTATTTTTTTTCTTCCTTAAATTCCTACAATCTCCGTCGTTTAGTTTTCTTTTCGTCGACAATATCTCGAGTTTTATACAGTATCCGATCGAAGGAGTTTTTATTTTGAATATCAAATTTCAAATAATGTAAACAGTAGCTATCATGGTTGCGATTGGCTGGCTGTTACCGGAAACATCTGCTTCCCCCCTGTAAATCCAACGGTAAAGGAGGCCTGGTTGCGCAGACGTTCGCCGTAGTAATTTTCGGCCTGGGCAAGTTCAATATAAAATGGGTTTTGATTTCCATTGTTAAAATATGGTCCAAAACTATGGCGTCATATCACCGCCAATATTCATGTATATCATGCTTTCGACATTGAAGTTAAATAGGACATTCAGCACCTACGTGCTTTCGACATTGAAGATAAATCTGACATTGAACATGCAGAACATTCAACATATTTTCGACATTGAAGTTAAATAGGACATTCAGCACCTACGTGCTTTCGACATTGAAGATAAATCTGGCATTGAACATGCAAAACATTCAACATATTTTCGACATTGAAGTTAAATATGACATTGAACACCTATGTGTTTTTGACATTGAAGTTAAACCGGACATTGAACATGCCGCGAATTTAGCACCCATCACAACTTCAACGTTCAAAATATGTTGAAAAAAATTACCACATGTTGAATATTGGCAGAGTTGAACGATAGCGTCAAATCTCCGCCAATATTAATTAAGCTAACACAAGATAACCCCCCGGCCAAATTCATTCGTGTCCAGACCTCTAGAACATATCACATGACGCAAGCCGAGGATCGAATTCGCCGCATCTTGTTGCTGTATTGAAGGCCGTATATTCACCATAATATTCGCGTATATTCGCTTGTTTGTCTTAAATTAATTGACTTTTATAGCGCAGATTGAATTGCTAGAGACGCAAAAATTATATTTTAAAAATTCCTAATAATCGCATTATAAATAATCGATACATTTTACTTAGAGTGTAATTGCAAAAACAATGCGTGCGTCAAACTGAACTTTTGCTGCGTCAGAAAGGCAGATGGTTTTCTTTATATATTAAATCGTGAGGCCATCTCACGGATCCGGAACTTAGAAAAGTGCGCAAAATTATGCTAAATTGACAAGTACTATCAAATTACACCACATGGCCTCACGATTTAATATATAAAGAAAACCATCTGCCTTTCTGGCGCAGCAAAAGTTCAGTTTGACGCACGCATTGTTTTTGCAATTACACTCTAAGTAAAATGTATCGATTATTTATAATGCGATTATTAGGAATTTTTAAAATATAATTTTTGCGTCTCTAGCAATTCAATCTGCGCTATAAAAGTCAATTAATTTAAGACAAACAAGCGAATATACGCGAATATTATGGTGAATATACGGCCTTCAATACAGCGACAAGATGCGGCGAATTCGATCCTCGGCTTGCGTCATGTGATATGTTCTAGAGGTCTGGACACGAATGAATTTGGCCGGGGGGGTTATCTTGTGTTAGCTTAATTAATATTGGCGGAGATTTGACGCTATCGTTCAACTCCGCCAATATTCAACATGTGGTAATTTTTTTCAACATATTTTGAACGTTGAAGTTGTGATGGGTGCTAAATGCGCGGCATGTTCAATGTCCGGTTTAACTTCAATGTCAAAAACACATAGGTGTTCAATGTCATATTTAACTTCAATGTCGAAAATATGTTGAATGTTTTGCATGTTCAATGTCAGATTTATCTTCAATGTCGAAAGCACGTAGGTGCTGAATGTCCTATTTAACTTCAATGTCGAAAGCATGATATACATGAATATTGGCGGTGATATGACGCCATACAAAACTTGTACATCTCGCCGAAGTATCTCCGTATTTTCGAAGGCATCTGTTGTGCATGCTAGCGAATTTTTCTGGAGAATAAAGCAATTTGAGTGTGAGAATTTTCGATTCGAAGTGCCGTGCCGTCGTATCGACGATCGGGAATCGTTAGCCTTTATCATGTATCATGTATACTAGTAACATCGAGCACAAAGTCTCGGAAAATATTAGTCCAACAAAGGAGGAATAAAAGGAGAACACATACTATCAAATAGGCAAGTCAATTTCATTTTAAAATTTATATTTTATGACATATTTTTACTATAATATACATTACTGTTGTGCCAGATTAAGCGAGATCGTGTCGAAAAAAAACCGCCACAGAAAAGTAAAACAACTTCGTACAAACACGCTTTATTTACTAAAGAAATCACACCAAATCGCATTAAAATCGTCCTTTTATACACACTGTCAATTTACATAACCTAATTAGTTTTCACGCCTATATAGTTTTATTGTTCTATTTACAAATTTACATAGTAACACACAATACACACATAACACACATAATAGTCATTTGTCCCAATTGTTCTCTGACCGGCACTACATCGCCCTCTCCCCAGTTCATCGGTCTCCGTTGAACAATTTCAACCAAAAATCTTACGGTGTATATCTTTGTGGTTGTTTCCTAGTTCGTATACCGGGACGCAACGATTCAACCGTGGTCCTACTGTTTGTGTTTTACCATTACTCTCTTTCTTTGATGTTGTCCTCACCCCAGGTAAAGTCGACTTGCCGATATCTAAGTTCCTCGAAGTTCCGGAACCAGTGCTTCCTTTCTCTGCGAACCAACCAAAATACTCTCCACCTGTGTAAGGTTTCAGTCGATTGATGTGCACAACTTTGGGCTTTGCCTGGGGCCCCTTCTTTATTCGAACGACAACGTCATTTATTTGCTTCACCACAACGTAAGGGCCCTCCCAATTTCTGCTCAACTTTGGTGATCTTCCCTTTTTCCGTTGTGGGTTATGAAGCCAAACACCCGTACCCACTTCGTATTTCACTGCCATAGCCTTCACGTCATAATGTTGCTTCATCGCACCAGAACTGATTTTTAAGTTATCTCTTGCAAACATATGCACTTCGTCCATCTTTTCTTGTAACTTCTGCGCGTACATCGGGCTGCTTCGTGGCATCTCACCACCTTCCGGTCGTCCTGCCCAAACATCAATAGGCAATTTCATCTCTCTACCAAGCATCATCCGGGATGGACTAATCTTCGTTGCTACGTGTTCTGCACTACGATATGCCATTAACAACAGAGGAATATGCATGTCCCAGTCGGTTTGATGAGCATTCACAAACATCGCCAATCCATCTTCTATTGTCTTGTTAAAACGTTCCACCATTCCGTCCGACTGAGGATGGTAAGGAGTTGTTCTCGTTTTATTAATTCCAAGTAACCGACAAACTTCTCGAAAAGTTTCAGATTCAAAATTCCTCCCTTGATCAGAATGTAACTCCATAGGGATCCCAAACCGAGTGAAGAACTGGTTGACCAACACTTCTGCGACAGTAACTGCTTGTTGGTCTGGAAGAGCAAAGGCTTCCGGCCACTTCGTGAAGTAATCTTGAGCAATGAGTATATATTGGTTTCCCGAATCTGTTTTTGGAAGCGGTCCCAACACGTCGATAGCTATCCTCTCCATCGGCGAACCAACGGTGTACAATTTCAACGGAGCTTTGGCTCTTCTAGGATATCCTTTACGCGACGCACATTTCTCACATTTTCTGCACCAGTTCTCCACTGACCATCTCAGGTTTATCCAATAGAAACGTTGTCGAACGCGAGCTAACGTTTTCTTCACGCCGAAGTGTCCCGCAGTTGGAGAGTCATGTAGATTTCGCAAAACATCATCTTGAATCGCCTTTGGTGTTAAATAGAGATACTTCACTTCACGTCCACTTGCATCCTCCCAACGTCGATAAAGGATTCCATCCACCACATCAATTGATGCCCACTGCGCCCAATATGATTTTGTAACTGGACTCATAGCCGAAATGTCTTTCCATTCTGGTCTTCCGTTAATCTTCCATTCCATCACATGTCTAATATCTGGATCTTCCACTTGCTTCGTCCTGAGCTCTTCCTTTGTCCAAATTTGAAACAACAGTTCGTCTTGGTTTATGGTCGCCCCTCTTGAAATTCCATTTCCGCGCATATCCCTTTCTTCTTCCTCACTTATCGCTTCGTTTTCATTATCTTTATCTTCTAAAGCCGAACAGAACTTGCATGCTGACTCATAACATGGTCGTCGTGACAAAGCATCTGCATTGACATGACTTCTTCCTGCACGATGCACGATCTCAAAGTCATATTCTTGTAACTTCTGCAACCAACGAGCAATCTGTCCTTCTGGCTGCCTGAAATTGAACAACCACTTTAATGAAGCATGATCAGTTCTCACCACGAATCGTTGACCATAGAGATAATAATGAAACTTTTCTGTTGCTTTGACCACTGCTAGTAACTCTTTTCGCGTCACACAGTAATTTCGTTCTCTTCTGCTCAGACTTCGACTAAAGTACGCGACAACTCTTTCTATTCCGTTTTGTTCTTGAGATAAGACAGCGCCAATTCCTCTCTCGCTCGCATCCGTGTCTATCGTAAATCTCCCTGACGCAATTGGGTAGGCCAACACTGGGGCTGCCGTTAAAAGACGCTTCAATTCTCCAAACGCTTCCTCACATTGTTCAGACCAATCAAACACATTTCTTTCTCGGTGAGTTTATGCAATGGGCTTGCAATGTCGGCAAATGACTTAATGAACTTGCGATAGTACGAGCAAAGTCCTAGAAATCCTCTTAAATCTCGCTTGTTCGTAGGTCTTGGCCACGTAGTCACAGCTTCAACTTTGCTTGGTTCCGTTGAAATTCCTTCTTGGGTCACAATATGTCCCAGATAGAGCACTTTCTGTCTGAACAGCTCGCACTTCTTCGGATTCAGTTTGAGGTTGGCTGCTCGAAAACGACCAAAGACTTCGCGTAGATTAAGTATCTCTTCTTCGAACGTCTTTCCATGTACCAAGATGTCGTCTAAGTAGAGAAGACACACGCTCCAAGGCAGACCAGCCAAAACTAACTCCATCAACCTTTCGAATGTAGCGGGGGCGTTGCATAACCCAAATGGCATAACGGTGAACTGCCACAACCCGTAGCCTGTCGAGAACGCCGTTTTTTCTTTGTCACATTGTTCCAATTCCACCTGCCAATAACCACTCTTCATGTCCAGAGTTGAAAACCACTTCGAGCCAGCTAACGCGTCAAGTGTCGTATCGATTCGAGGGAGCGGGTAGGAATCTTTCTTCGTCACATCATTCAACTTTCTGTAATCAACGCAGAACCTGTTTGTGCCGTCCTTCTTCTTCACCAAGACAATAGGCGCTGTCCAGGGGCTGCTTGAAGGCTCGATAATTCCTTGCTCATACATTCCTTTAATCGCCTCTTGTGCAATGTCCACCTTCGCCAGTGGTAGACGCCGCGGTTGTTGTTTGATCGGTTTTTGGTTACCAGTGTCAATCTTGTGTGAAGTTAAAGATGTTCTCCCTAAGTCACCTGAACTTTCTGAAAACACGTCTTTAAATTCCACCAGCAACGAATACAACTGACTCTTTTGCGAATCGTCCAAACCTCCGGAACTACGGTCATAAAGCTTCTTTACCACTTCAGGTAACTCATCACTCGCTTCACGACTTCCAGGCTCAGTCTTCCCCACCACGGTCACACTGTCGATGATTTCACAACTAGCAACATCTGTACCTTCACGGACTATTCGTTCATCATCCGACATGTTTAACACTCTTACAGCAAATATGGGCTTACGAATATCTACAACCGTCCTTGCTACGAGAATATCACTGGACAATCCTGGTTCCTTGCTAGGGTTGATTTCTCCCCAACCTTCTTCAGAACTACCATCACCGTCCAGCATTCCTGGAATTATCGCTTCGCTCTTCGGTGGAACCAACCATGTTTCAGCAACCATCACTCTGCGACAAACTGATTTCTTTGTGGCTGTCATCCCCTTGAATCGAATTTCTTCCGGGCCAATACGCAAACAGGATTCTTGTACATCAACAACACAGTCATTCGAAATCAGAAAGTCTAGTCCCAAAATACACTCGTTCTCGACATCTGCAATCCATACATCATGTACGACTTTCAAATTTCCAACTTGAAAAGCGAGCTTACCACGACTTTGTACTGGTGTTGTTTCACCGGTTACTGTCCGTAATAAACTGTTTACTGGCTGTACATCAATGTCTACGTCTTTCGAAACTCGCCCCAATACGTCCGGTCTCAAAATTGTAATGTTAGATCCCGTATCTATCACCATGTCACAATTCACACCTTCGATACTGCCAGATATGATCAAACTGTCCGCTATTCCTTGCATCATTCCTGTTTTTAAGATTTTGGTTGGAGCATTCGGTTGAGCTGGCACTCGCCCCGTAGGACCAGCTACTTCCCGTTTCCCTGATCATCCGATTCTTCGTCATCATTGCGTGATTTTGGACAGTTTCTTCTAATATGATTTAAATCACCACAATTCCAGCAACCAGGCTCTTTC